TTTATTTTGATGATTATGACTTACAGCTGGTAAAAACCCAGAATTCAGTATCTCAGAAAATTAAAATATTACATAAGACCAATAAAAAAAGGATTTTTAATACAGAAATGTAGGCTTACTGAAAAGTATGTACATGTACAGTATAGTATACACTCAATACTTGGTTGGGGCTCCTTTTGCATGAATTACTGCATCAATGCAGCACGTCATGGAGCTGATCAGTCTGTGGCACTGCTTAGGTGTTATGGAAACCCAGGTTGCTTTGATAGCGACCTTCAGCTCATCTGCATTGTTGGGTCTGGTGTCTCTCATCTTCCTCTTGACAATACCCCACAGATTCTCTATGGGGTTTAGGTCAGAAGAGTTTGTTGGCCAATAAAGCACATAGATACTATGATCATTAAACCAGGCATTGGTACTTTTGGCAGTGTGGGAAGAATTTCCTGGTAGAGGGCTGCGCTGACTTTCGACTGGATAAAACACAGTGGACCAACACCAGCAGATGACATGGCTCCCCAAATCATCACTGACTAGAAACTTCACACTGGACCTCATGCAACTTGGATTCTGTGCCTCTCTGCTCTTCCTCCAGACTCTGTGAGCTTGATTTCCAAATGAAATGCAAAATGTACTTTCATCTGAAAAGAGGACTTTGGACCACTGAGGAACAGTCCAGTTCTTTTTCTCCTTATTCCAGGTAAGACCCTTCAGACGTTGTCTCTGCTTCAGGAGTGGCTTGACACAAAGAATGCAACAGTTGTAGCCCATGTTCTGGATACGTCTGTGTGTGTGGTGGTTCTTGAAGCACTGATACCAGCCGTAGTCCACTCCTTGTGAATCTGCCCCATATATACTTGAAGGGCCTTTGCTTCACAAGGCTCTGGCTGGTCGCTGTTGCTTGTGCACCTTTTTCTACCACACTTTTTTCTTTGTTTAGTTTGTTCTCTTAGCAATGACCTTTTGTGACTTACTCTCCTTGTGAAGGGTGTCAGTGACTGTCTTCTGGACAACTTTCAAGTCAGCAGTCTTCCATATGATTGTGTAACCCACTGAATCAGACTGAGAGGCCATTTAAAGGCCCAGGAAACCTTTTACAGGTGTTTTGAGTTAATTCGCTGATTAGAGAGTGAAACCATGAGTCTAAAATATTGAACTTTCTCACAATATTCTAATTTTCTGCGATACTGAATTTTGGGTTTTCACTAGCTTTAAGCCATAATCATCAAAATTAAAGAAAAAAATGCTTGAAATATATTGGTGTGTAACGAATATATAATATGAGTTTAACTTTTTGAATTGAATTACTGAAATAAATTAACTTTTTGATGATATTCTAATTTATTGAGATGCACCTGTGAATCTCCCAAAAAAGAAAATCCTATATAGTGTAGTATGCTCTCAACCAGTGAATATTTAATATTTTTAGCTTTGCTCATATGTGTAAGTAACACCTTGCCATAAACTACCATATGACGTGCCTTCTTCACATCCCCACTTGCTTAGATCCTCACCAGATTTGTAATCTTTAACAGCTCATATCCCAAAGTGACTTTCTCTTCCCCTGTGAACATATTTACCATGTGGACTCACCACTGTAAAACACCTTACCAAGTTTTTCCCCTAAGACACAAGGTTCAGTGATTGCTCTTGCACACGTTGCTCAAATTTCTCCTCAGCACTTCCAGTTGAAGCATTCCCCAACTTCAATTTGGATATCAAGGACTTAAAAAGATGAAATGGCAGAATAGTGCAGAAATTCCCACTAGAAAATATATTTATTAAATAAAAACTGCTCTCATAGGTAGATGAATGCACATTCCTAAAACCAAAATGGGCACTTCCGGTTCCGGTGACTTTGTTGAGAACACACCACACTATATGCAGTTTTTTTTTTTTTCGGGGAATACACACACACACACACACACACACACACACACACACCTATTCAGTGGTGGTGAAGACACAAAGTTTTGAAAGAATGCTTTATCAGATCCAATTCAGCTCTATGTGGGTCACTTAATCTGGTAAAGAGCTGGTACATCCTATGCATAAAAAGATATACGTATTAAGATGTTCAACTTGATTCTGGGATTTCTTGATTGAGACAGTGCTGGTTTTAAGGAAAAAATATTTTATATACTTACCTTGCCTGCTCTGGTCTGGTCATGTAATCTCTCCTGTGTCAGCACGCATTCACCACAGGGGAGAAGAGATGTCACCCATAGCCTTATTATGGCCCATCCATTGTCAATGCTTCCTCCTCTCCCCTGAAGTTGATGCTGAGTCGATCATGTGACCAGACTGGAGTGGCCAGAAAATAGGGTAGGTATGTGCATCTTTCTTCTACAGGTTATTTAGTGTAAGTGTTGGAAGGTGGTGGGAGCAGTTTTTAGATTCGTTAGTGATATCCTGGAATTCCACTTAATATGTTCATGTACTTTCAAGAGTCATCTTCAGTATTTGTTTTAAAATCTGCAGCTTTTTTTTAAAAAAATGCTAGTATCTGATGATACTGACTTGAAGGCTTTTGTTCAGGCTTTTCCTGTTAGAGGGTGATGGTGCTCTGTCCCTGCCTCCGAATTGTGCTCCCACATTGTCACCCTGTCACACAGTCTTCCAGTGGAGACTTCAAATAACCTTTTAAACTCATGTTAGACAGTAACAGAAAGTGTCTGCGGGAGGTCAGCAACCTGAGATGCCACAAAAAAGTATAAGCATTTTATTAAAATAAAAAGGGGGATTAGGATACACAGTGCTGTAGCAAACTAAATGCTTCAATTAGCATTTACATCTACATTATTGATAGAATTAGCGCTTTTTTTTTTCCTTCCATTTCATGGTAATGAAATGGTGACCATTATCAGACTGGTCAATATGCCTTATAATGTTCAATTTAGTTTGTTTATAATTTCTGGAGTAAAATTTAATGTACAGTTGGAACATTGAAATGTTCTATTTTTGTTCTATGCTAAACAGTTTTAAAAGGACAATTTTAGCCAGCCAAATTACAGTGGTTTGGGGATCTAAATGTGCTTGTAAATAACGAAAAATTTGTTTAATTGTAGTACTTTATGGATATTAAAGAAAACCTCTTAGATTAAACATACAGTCTTTTGCTGACTTCACAGATCACAAAGGGTTTTATATAAAGTATATTGCCAAAAGTGTTGGGACGCCTGCCTTTGCACGCACATGAACTTTAACCACTTCCCGTCCGGCCCATGTATATAAATGGCCGGGCGGGAGCATTGCAGGAGCAGGTGGCTGTTTATAAATGTCCTCCCCGCTCCCCACCTGTGCTCGCTCCATGGCAGCGTGCGGCACCGCGATCCGGTGCCCGCTGTGTCCGGAGGACACAGCGGAACACAGATCGCTGTACAGGACCTCTATGTGAGGTCCCAATCATGTGATCACTGATTGGCCAATCAGTGATCACATGAATAGTAGTAAGCAAGATGACACTTCTGACATCATTGCTTACTACGTGTGAAATCTGTGAATGATCACAGAGGTCACATGGTACAAGGCTATTCACAATAGCCTTGTACCATGTGACAAGCTGTGACCAATTACAGCTCTCACAGTATTTCTCAATGGCTGCAAGAATGCAACCAGAGAGAAATAGAAATTATTGCTTTTACAGCCTTTGAGTAAAATCAATCAGTGTAAAACAAAAAAAAATCTTCATCACCCCCCACAAGTAGTATAGTGTCACTATGGTGACACTGTACTTCTAGAGTGACAGTATGTTAAAAAAAACAAAAAAAAAAACCCATAAATAATAATACAAAAAAAAAATAAAACTAAACTAATTTGGGTAATTTTTTGTTTACTAAAAAGATAGATGAATACATTTTGGCCAAGATTTATGAAGAAAGATAATTTATTAGCAAAATTTTATAAGAAAAATCCCAGTGATGAATAAATACCACCAAAATAAAGTTTTATCTGTCTCAAAAAAATACTAAAAAATTTATATGGGTACAGTGTTGCATGACCGCGCAATTGTCATTCAAAGTGATAGCTCTGAAAGCTGAAAATTGAGCTGGACAGGAAGGGGGTGAAAGTGTCCGGACTTGAAGTGGTTAATAGCATCACAGTCTTAGTCCGTAGGGTTCAATATTGAGTTAGCCCACCCTTTTCACCTATAACAGCTTCAACTCTTCTGGGAAGGCTGTCCACAAGGTTTAGGAGTGTGTCTATGGGAATGTTTGACCATTCTTCAAGAAGTGCATTTGTGAGATGAGGCACTGATGTCGGACGAGAAGGTCTGGCTTGCAGTCTCTGCTTTAATTCATCCCAAAGGTGTTCTATCAAGTTGAGTTCAGGACTCTGTGCAGGCCAGTCAAGTTCCTCCATCCCACACTCGCTCATCCACATCTTTATGGATCTTGCTTTGTGCAATGGTGTGCAGTCATGTTGGAACAGGAAGGGGCCATCCCAAAACTGTTCTCACAAAATTGGGAGCATGAAATTGTCCAAAATGTCTTGGTATGCTGACGCCTTAAGAGTTCGCTTCATTAGAAATAAGGATCCAAGCCAAACTAAGAGGCCAAGCCCAACCCCTGAAGAACAACCGCACACCATAATCCCCCCTCCACCAAACTTTACACTTGGCACAATGCAGTCAGGCAAGTACCGATTTCCTGGCAACCGCCAAACCCAGACACATCCATCAGATTGCCAGACAGAGAAGTGTGATTCGTCATTCCAGAGAACACGTCTTCACTGCTTTAGAGTCCAATGGCGGCATGCTTTAGACCACTGCATCCGACGCTTTGCATTGCACTTGGTGATGTAAGGCTTGGATGCAGCTGCTCAGCCATGATAACCCATTCCATGAAGCTCTCTCTACACACTGTTGTGCTAATCTGAAGACCACATGAAGTTTGGAGGTGTTTTAGCCACTGACTCTGCAGGCAGTTGGCGACTTCTGCGCACTGTGTGCTTCAGCATACTCTGACCCTGCTCTTTCATTTTATGTGGCCTACCACTTTAACGAGTTGCTATTGTTCCCAGTTGCTTCCACTTTGTTATAATACCACTTACAGTTGACTGTGGAATATTTAGTAGCAAGGAAATTTCACAGATGGACTTATTGCACAGGTGGCAATCTATCACGGTACCACACTTTCACTGAGCTCCTGAGAGTGACTCATTCTTTCACAAATGTTTCTAGAAGCAGTCTGCATACCTGGGTGCTTGATTTTATATACCTGTGGCCATGAAGCTGATGGAAACACCTGAATCCAATGATTTGTATGGGTGTCCCAATACTTTTGGCAATATAGTGTATAATAATATGTTTGATTGCATTTTTTTGTAGATGAATAAACGTGTGTGTATGTGTATAGTATATAGACATAAAATATTTGCCAAAATACTGTATATCTTCATCATACAGTACAAAACACAGAATTGGTATTTATAGACAGTGTGTTTATATGCTGCTAACTTCAGGTGATTGGACACTGGCAAAAAATTTGCTGGGGCAGACCCTAGTGCCCGAGTTTTTGAAGTTTCTTCATCTGACATTTCTATCAACATCATTGTTTATTTTCTTGTGCTGTCTAGCAGTTTCAAATCAATTACAATCGGTGTGTACCTCGGGGACCTTACAAAGACCTCACTGCGCACCTGTAATGTTTGCTTCGGGCACTGGGTCCTATGTTAGGTACTCCCCTTCATGTGAAGTTAGCTGCAGAGTACTATACAGGTAAGAGCCATTTCTGTGGTTCCCAGACCTTATGGGGATATTCTCACTGTGACAGGCAAAGCCTAGACCTTAATAAGGCCAGTTCCTTTGTTCCGGACCAAACCCAGAATTTAAAATGGTAAAAGCTTGCTGAACATGCTTGTAAGCAACTTCGTAATGCCCTTTTGGTGGTGAACACATCTTTAAGAAATCCCCTGACAAAGTCATGCCAGTTTCTTCATAAACACAGGTTCAAAGTTTCCGTTTCTGTTTTGTTCTGTACAGTCCTGAAACCAAATTGGGCATACGCCAATCACTAAACAAATCACTAAACACATTTCTTTGTGTTTAGAAATTACAGATGGAATCTACAAGATCTGTCATTGCTTCCCTCAGACAAGGGGGATTTCTTGCATCAGTAGATATATTACCATTATCCCTTCACACCAATACTTTCTACGGTTTGCTGTGGGAGATCAGCACCTCCAGTTTGTGGCACTCTCATTCAGGATCTTCTTTGCACCCTGAGTTTCACAAGCTACTTTGATTACTTTTGCTGAAGGGCTCCTTAGACAGGATGTTGTGTGCCAATGTTCGAAGGACCATCCAGTTCTTCAAAACTTTGGCTGTATAATCAACTGTTCACAGGTCTAGAGTGCTTGGGTCTAATTTTCCAGAATCTTCCAATATGACAACTTAGGTGAAGATTACCTTCCTGAGGTCCAGCTTTTGGACCCTCAGGTCACAACATCACCCCTTAATTTGCTTCTGTTTAAGTGTTGTGAGCCTGAAGCTGGCCTTCTTCGGTGCAGTTTTCTTTGCCCAATTTCACTCCAGACCCTTTCAATCCAACATCCTATAGACATGGAACAAGTAGATGCAATCTTGGGTCACCTAGTGCTTCTGTCCAGTCAAGTGAAGATCACCTTGACATGGTGGATCTCCAGTTCTGCCATGGAATTGGGAAAGTCTTTCCATCACAAGACTTGGAGTAAGACAACAGATGGGAGCTTGTTCAGGAGTCGTGGTCCCGACAGTATTAACAACTTCCCATCAACATTCTATAACTATCATTCTGTCTCTACAAGATACTCTAATGTCTCTACCTCACTTCTGCAAGGTCTCCCAGTCATAGTACAATCAGACAATGCCACAGCTGTGGCCTACATAAACTATTAAGGGGGCAGCCCTCAAAGAAACTATTCTAATACTGTCATGGGTAGGAACTTACATTCCATTGCTCTAGGCAGTCAACCTGCACCCGGGAGAACCCAGGGAGAAGATGCCAGCACAGGCAAGGGACCTCCTGGGCATCAGACCATTGGAACTAAGGTAAGTATGTGTGCCTATAGTTCTGCATAAGTTCATTTTTTAAGTGTAGATTCTATTGCACCCTCTGGGTAATGATTCCAATTATTAAATGCAGAGTTATAGGAGCCGAAAACATTTGAAGAACCTGACACATCTGGTTGTGTTTTTTTTTTTTTTAGCTGCCCACGACTGCTTTCCTCCCCCTCTCCAATAAGATGTTACATCACCAGGGTCTGAAACCAGCTCCTGAACACAACCTTGCAACATGACAGCTAGCAGAAGTAAGGCTGTTTCAGGGGTATAATTGTACAGATATATCTGTAAGTTTGCAGATGTATATCCTTTGTAGTCATTTTCCCAGAAATGTTGGAGTCTTCTTGTTTTTTCTGTGCCTATTACTCTGCATTTAATCATTGGAGTTCTTGCCCAGGAGACAACATTAACTGCAATTAAAGCTGTATTATATGAATTCCTAAAATGTCAATATTGCATTTATTGCTTTCTTTGTTATTTTCTCGAATGTGCTTTGACATGGTGAACTGTTTTCTTTTAGGTAAGCAGGTCACTGTCCTGTATTCAGCTCTTCCTTGCAGGAGTGGTTGCTGCCTCTGCCCACAAATGTTAAAATCGTTACCACCTTGTCTGTTCGGATAGTTCTAAATGTACTGTATGTGTATTTTCATTTTATAATGCAGGAAATATAGCAAATTGTATAGGCATTTGCATAGAAATTCAACCTTGCTGATTCTCTCCACCAAAGGCAGAAAACAGATAATCAGTTCAGCTGTTTTGGCTGTTGCAAGCAAGGGGTTTTTGAACTTTTTGTTTTGCATACATAACTAAAATATAATGTGGATTGTATCGCTTTTTAACCCCTTAAATTTGCTTTGTTTTGTAGCAACTTGAACTGGTTGAACCCAGTGGCTGGATACACATCCCTCTAACCGATGCTCATAAAAAGCCCATTCGAACCTTTATGATTCAGATAGCAGTGTTGGCAAATCATCAGAATGGGAGAGACACTCACATGCGACAGATTAAAGTCTTCACACCTGTGGAAGAGAGTTCTATTGGCAAGTTCCCCAGATGCACCACTATTGATTTCATGATGCATCGTTTCATCAGGTGATCTAACCACAATCCAATAAATGGCTAACCCTAACATTGTCACATATGAACGCTTTTATTTTCTTTTATTGCTGTTGTCAAAATGTATAGTTTTATTACCTGACACCAGGTCGTAACTTTTTAATTTTCAGTCTGTTTTAGTATGTTGGGGAACAGTTTAGTTTGTTTCCTCACTGTTCATGGGTTTACTTATTAAGTGTTCATATTTTTTTAAGCTGACATTTTTACAAACCTGTACTACTGCTATTAAAAATAAGAAATTGATGTTGGATTCTTTCTGAGATGTGTTCGTTGCACTGAAATGTTCTTTATGCCAAAAGCATGATAACTTTTACTTTTGCTTTTATTTTGTATATTTCTTTTTCAATAAATTATATAGTATTTTTTGGGTATCTCTTCACTGTACCTTCATATCATCTAATATGTGCAGTTTAATTGTATGCTTTTGTACCAAGCTTAGTAGGGGTGAGGCTGGGATAATAAATACACCCCCTTTTAAAGGGAAACTCTTCCACCCCCCTCTAGATTTTTTCCCTTCTTACCAGTTATACATGGTTTTCTTCTAAAAACCTACTCACCTGCCCAGTATATTCCTTTTCTATGTCATCTGGGGCCGAGCTGGTGATGCATTGCCAGGTCCGCCCTCCAGATCCCTGTGTCCCTTCTTCTGTAGCCTCCCAGGATATCTGACAGGGATTTTTCAGGAGCAGATATGTCACCTAGGTGTTAAAAAAAAAAAAAAAACTTTTTTTTAATATTGCAGAGAGAGTGGAGGGTTGCAGGGAGTAAAAGAGTTAAAAGTGAAGTTCTGTTAATGTTTTTACTGTTTTGTTACATTACAACCTGGAGTTAAAATGCTTTGTACCATGTGATGTACACAACATACCTACAACTTTCCAAGTGCAAAATATTTTTTGCACTTGGAAACAAACAATATTTAAGACTACAAAACTGAAATCCTAAGTGTGCATAAGTATTTACCCACGGTCCATCTGTGTGCAACCAAAGTGTCGCATGATGTCAGTATAAATGCAATACACCTGTTCTCAAGGGCCCTGAGTCTCCAACACCACTAAGCAAGCAACATGAAGACCAATGAGCTATCCAGACAGGTGAGGGGCACAGTTGTGGAGAATTATAGATCAGGGTTGGCTTATTTAAAAAAAAATAAATGAACATCTCAATATTAAGTCCAACTCACAGACCAGACAAGAAGGGAATTAATTAGAGATGCCACAAAATCACCAAAGATAACACTGAATGTCCTGCAAAGAACCCTTTAAGCTATACAGTTAAAGTGGGGCTGTATGGAAGACTGGCTAGGGAAAAAAAAACATTGCTTAAAGAAAAAAAAATAAGAATGCATGTTTGTAGTTTGTCAAACAGCATGTGGAAGACTCTCCAAGCAAATGGTAGAACGTTATCTGGTCAGATGAGACTAAAATGTAACTTTTTGGCCATCATGGGAAACTCATTGTGTGGCGCAAATCCAACACTTCTCATCACTCTGAAAACACCATATCCAGGGTAAAGCATTGTGGTGGCAGCATCATGCTGTGAACATGCTTTTCATCGGTAGGCACTAGACTAACTGTGCAGGATTAAAGGAGCGGTGGATGGTACTCTTTCAGGTTTTAAAATGGGTTGGAGGTTCACCTTCCAGCAGGACTATAACCCTAAACAAACTGGAGTGGTTTAAATGGAAGCATTTGCAGTAAATGTCTTGAAATAGCCTAGTCAAAGCCCAGACCTCAAGCCAATTGAGAATCTGTGGCATGACTGGAAGATTGCTGTACACTCACACAACCCATCTAACTTGAAGGAGCTTGAGAAGTTTTGCCTTGAAAAATAGGCAAAAACCACATTTGCTAGATGTGTTAATCTAGTGGAGCCATACCCCAAGAAACTTGCAGCAAATATTGACTCTACAAAGTATTGGTTTATGGGGTGGTGGGAATACTTATGCCAACCCAAGGTTTTTTTTTGGGTGGGTTTTCATTATTCAAAAGAAATTTTAGAAACAGCGCTCAACAGTGTAACATATACAGTGATTAACAAATCATCCAAGATGAACGTCCAATAAAAAAAAGTCCAATAATGAAAACTTAATCCATAATGCTGTGCA